CATTTACGTTGTCTTTTAGTTTTGTTGTAAAAATTATTTTTTATTATGTTTTTGTTGTAGAAGTTAAATCTAATTAAATACACAATTAAGAAAGGAAAAATGAGATTTATATGGTTTAATGTATTCTCATTTAATTTGATACACTATTTTGTTATTATGCTTAAAATGATATTATGTAAAATAAGAAAAATATGATAATGTTTAACTTTATAAAATTATTGTAATTTATATCACAATATTTATTATCTACTTTTTATTATAAGTTATTTTGTAAAATAATTTTCACACAAAGCTAATTATCAAGGCAAAAGTCCCTAAAAATAAAAATAAATAAGGAAAAACGGGTAGTCCAAACCCGCCCGGGTAAGCCCGTTCCAAGCCCAGTTTTAATATAGCTCGCCGGATCGGGCTAAAAAGTCCAGATTCAATGAGAAGTATATAATATGATACCCAAACCTTATAAAATTTCGGGCTTTGGCGGGCCGTCTCGGTTGGCCCCACCCATTTGCGTCGGCCCGACCATTTTGACACCTCTAAGTCTACACATTAAATGGAGATACGTATGGGATGGTGAATACACTTACAAAAACAATGGAAATGTGTAGAAATACATACTTATATATATATATATATAAACAAAATCGTGTATATCAGGGGTGAGCAGAATCTGACCTTAATCGCTTATCTAGTTTGATCTGATAATGATTAGATTCGAATAGGATGGGTTTAGAGCCGAGTTCATGTTCAAAAATTAGACTTGAACAACATTTAAGGTTGGGTACGAACCAAGCGTGAATTGACTTATTGTGAGTCACTTATCATATTTGTATGTGTCTTTAGTTAAATGTGTAAATGACACCTTTTTGGTCAATCGTGTCATTGATTCTCTAATTTTTCATCATGTATACATGATTAATAATATATATACATATATAATTTTATATGTTAAATTGCATATTCATAATAATAAATAATATTGATAAGACTTTATCTAAAATGAGTATACATTATATTTAATCGAGTCTAAGTTCAGGTTTAAAGGCTGACTCGGTTGATCAGAGTTGGATTAGCTTCGGGTCTAACGCGAGGTCCAAACTCAAAAAAATGACATAACCAACATTTACAATCGGGTAAAGACAAACCTTAATCCATCTGAGCTCACTCATGCTGACCCATTGTATCTTGTATATGTATATGTGGGAACACACAAGTATATAAATGAGGACAAATAGATATTTTAACTGGTGGGATGCAGACATGATACTAGTCCTCTAATCATGAGTTTATGGCTTTATTTGGCATAATTAAAATTGTTTAGTGACTCAATTAAAAAAATTGTTTAATAAAATTAGTCAATTACATGGTTTAGAAATGTAAAGAAGTGAGTCTTGCAAGTTGAATTTTAGATAAGAAAAATAGATTTCATTTTCTCTTAATTTTCCTCTAAAATCCAACTCAATAAACACTATTAAATTGTTGATGAGTTTAAAATTTTGTATTTAATATCAAGTTGATCGGAAAGTCAACACCAAACTAAAAAATCACATGTTAAAATCTTTTATATATATATAAAATATGCTAAACTGGTTTATTATATTAAAAGTATAGGTAATATAATGAATTGGGTAAAATAGGTGTAAATGATATAAATAGTTTATAAGCCCATAACTTATAATGAGAGTGACATCAGTTAGAGTAATTTCCAATAATAACGTAATTCTAGGCAGAGGTGATAATCTGGGTTATTATTAATTTTTGATAATAATCGTTTTCTTGTCTAGAAATCCTTTCCCCCAAAAAGAGTGCGGGAATTAGGGTTACAGTTTCAATCGTCATCATCATCATCATTATTCCTTTATGATCCTTTCATTGATCATCATCGTGCTCTTATTTTTGATAATAATCGAATCGAATAATCTGGTGGTTGGTGCTGAAATGATGAAGATTCATCCTCTTCCTCTAAAGCGCAACATCACCATCCAATTTGGTAACACCATCAACCCTAATTTCGGCAAGAAACTCCGCCGTCTCCCTCATGTCTTCACCCGCGTTCTCGAACTCCCTTTCCAATCCGATGCTGATGTCACCATCCAGGAGGACCCCGATTGCTTCCGATTCGTTGCCGAGACCGATCGTATCGCTGATGTTAGGGCCCACACCATTGAGATCCATCCCGGCGTCATCAAGATTGCCGTTAGGGTTGGTCCTTCCGTTGAATTCTCCCTAGACCAATTGGAGATTGACATGTGGAGGTTCCGGTTGCCGGAGTCCACCCAGCCAGAGCTTGCCACCGCTGCCTTCATCGACGGGGAACTCATCGTCACTGTGCCAAAAAGGTATGGGGATGGTGGAGATGTCAATTTTTAGATAGATTTGTGATTGTACAGTGATGATTTCATTCTAAGTGGCCTTAGTATGTTTAGACTTCAGGTTCATGGTCTTCAACTTAGCTTCTCTATTAATTTGTATGTTCTCTCTGAATCACATAGTATCAATGAATGCTCTTTACCTCTTTTAGTTATTCCTGCCAATGTCAAATTTGATCCATTACTTATAAGTGATTGAGATGAACATGTGGACCAATCCATTTAAATGCGAGAAAGAATGAGATGCAAAAAACTCTGTTTCTTTTGAGACACCTAAAATTTATTGGTTGTTCACCTCAACAGACTCCTTTCTGTTAACTCCAAAAGTATTATTTAGGTCCACTTCATCCAAAATATACATTTGATTACATGGGAAGTGTTGCTAATTAAATATCATATATAAGAAGATGCAAACATACTCTTTCAATCCCATCTGCTCAAAAATAACTAGCACTTTTACACATACATATTAAGTGATTAAGTGAGTTCAGATACACGTGCAAAGTTCGTTTACTTCATTTATTTGTTTGTTCAAAGGATTGCTTCATTTTGTTAAGACTAAACTATCGTTTCAGTTCCTCATTCCTCAAGATTTCCATGCGTACCATATCAGTTTCGAAGAAAATAAATTATAACTTTAATCATCACATTTATTCTCCGTGACCCACATTAGGCTATCCATTACTTTAACTCCGTCAACATTAACTGATGTGTTACATTCCCTGGTGGAATTCATAAATGACGGAATGATACGTCATTTCATTAACAAAAAAACAAAAACAAAAACATCGCCGTTTTACTGGGAATGACCCCTTCATAGTCAATCTTCAATTCTAACACATTAACTGATTCTCCCCCTTCATTTCCATATCCTCCATCTCTCTCGCTCTCTATCTTTGCAGATCTGGGAATGCCGCCATTTCAGCGCTTCCGTCTGCTCATCTCCACCTGGAACCTATGATTATAACCGGCGTGTCAACTGTTTTGGATCAGAATGCACCACTGTGCCGTCACTGCATGCGCGATTGCTATCCTCAATGATTCATGGAACTTATGTAAGATATTCTCAGTTTATTCACACTTTGCCCTCTCTTCAATTTCTAGCTTCCACTGTGGCTTTATCTCTCTTGTTGACTTTCGTTTTTGGTTTCCTATTTGTGAATTTTTTGTGTTAGTTTTAATTGTTAATTCTCTTCTTGATTTTTTGATTGGTGAAAGTAATTTTAGAAAACCCATTTATGGATTTTGGGTTTTAGATGCTGGGTTACTTGCCATTATTTTGTTTTCATTGGTTATGGATTTTGATTATGAGTTGTTGCATACATTGTTACAGAGCATTGTTGCTTGGATTGTCAGGACCGTTTACAAGTACCACTCTTTTAATCCCAACTCCTAATAAATCTGTTAAGATTATCAGCTTTGTCACAGCATACTCAAATGATTAGAAACAGTAATTGTCGTTACTAATTGTTGGTAATTCTTTTCAAAAGTATAATTCTTGTTCACTATATCAATTTTGTTATATCATATTATATCTACCATTTTTTAATTTTGTATGGTAGTTTTTTATGGTTATTTCTCTTATTTCAGGGCATGCTAAGATGCATCTAGTAGACCAAACATCCTCCCAATTATACTCAGTATCTTGGGCAATTAAGTTGTGTATTTTGTGATTTTGTTGTGCTAGAAGATTGAAAGAACTACATTTTTCAAAAAGAGTTGATAAAAGAAATGGAAATAGTTAGATTGGCTTCTAGTTGACAGGGTCTTTGTTCATGGATTATCATGATTCTTGTATTGGTTGAAAAGGGCTATGTATACTTGTTATGAAAATTAGTGCAATCCGAAAGACAAAATGCATGCCCTTTAGAGAGTGATTTCAAGTATTCAAATGTATATGGCACTTGTCCTAAAGTTGTAAATGAAGTGATTACAGCTAGTCAATTGTATACATTGTTAAGTTTTCAAACCCTGGGCTAATTTTTCAGATTGTGCCTGGTGCATTATTTGCAGAGAAACATAGATAATGTGCACAAGAACTTCATATAAATATAAAACAACACGTGATTGTAGTTTTATATAATGTTCTCCATGGAATGGACTTCGGATTTGCTACTAACACCCTTCATATTATGTATCATATTATAATATTTAGTCACTTTTCTTGCCCATGAATCCTATTGTTGTACTAATTAGTGTAATATCAATTGTACTTGAATCCTATGAATTATTGAATATCTCAAAACAAAGGCAATAACAAAACATGGCATTAATAGAAAAATCACAATGATTTCTATAAGTCAAATTTTCACTAATACTTATAAAGAACATTCTTTCAAGATATTATATTGTCACTTCTAAATAAAACTTTTACATTATATTGAACAAGTAAACCCATAAATCCCTTTTTATTACCATAAATGTCTAAATGCCAATTGCTCCATTGTTTTCGTTTTTCAGTAGGGAACTCCTTTGCTTCTTATCTTGAGAGCAGCTGTTGTATCTATTCCTCTTTGATTGAAGTTAGAAATTGAGATAGAGAAACATAAACGAAATAAAAAGAAGTTTACACATCATTTTCCTTTTACTTGCCAATCATGCATATTCATCTTAACCGTTGAGGAGTTTGCTTTCAAGTTCATTGCAAGTTTTTCAGAAAGAAAGTATAATGAGACCCTCACTGAAAAGAAAGGATTCATAGGCTGATATAAATGAGTTTAGTTGTGGAGATGTCTACGCAATTCCAAATCATGCCATTACTGTTGTTGAGATGCTAATTCAGAGAACCTCATCTACCTCAATCTTATGCTTGTTTTAACGTATGAAATAATGTTCCAAGTAAAAGAAGCAAATATGTGATTGAGTGTATCCCAAATATATAATACCTCACCACTAATCATATTAAAACAAAAAAAATGACATGTTTTTCATTGGTACAGGAATGCATATCCTTATTCAACAATAGACACTACTCAATTATCATTGGTGTTAGATTTAAAAATCAGTCTTTGTAATGAATTTTCCTATTCACTCTTTATTAAATCCCTCCACAATATGGGCCGGGGGATTGTGGTGGAGTTGGTGCGAGTGCTCAGTCAGCAGCAGCAGCAGCAGCAGCAGCAGCAGATGAGAGATATTGTGAGTGATGCAACAAGTAAGTTAGGAAGGGACAAGGTAGCAACAGCTGAAGATGCTGTAGGAGGTTAGGAACACCAACATTAACCATATATAACCTCAATTATGAGTTGACATCTCCCCGCATAGGAAACTTGTTAGCTCAATTATTTGCATCTTTAAAGTGATGCAAATAAAGTGATGTTAGTGGCTGACTAGGAATGTTATCCATGAAGATAAGACTATTGAAGGATGTCACAGTTGGTTGAAGCTGCGAATTAAGCATTCACAGCATTGAAGTTGAATTTGGTACAACCCCATAAATGATTAAAATGATTAAAATGATTTAGAAGTAGAATAGCTTGTCCATGTAGAGAGTGTAAAATGAGATCTTCATAGTTCAATCTTTCCGCACTCCCACTGCCACATGTACAATGATAGCAATATATATATTATCAAACATTTTATTTTATCTTTTAGGGATAAATCAGGTTCCCATTACCAATTACCAATTACCAATTTCCAAAAAGCAAGCTAGCCAGCAAAACACAACCACTCACACACACACAAACACACTCCTTAGTTATTTCTTTTCATATCATTTCATTGTGCAAATTAATGATGTTGTCTAAACACCTTCATCTGTGTTTCTTGAAGCTCAAATACCCATCTTCCATTAATCTATCCCAACCATCACCACCTTCCAGTACTCCTACTAATTCAACCATGATCCACTTCAATGATGATCTTCCTCCTCCACCAACAGACTTTGCCTCCGTCTTGGCCTCTCAACGCTTCTTTTTCTCATACCCTGGCACCTCCAACTCCATCATAGACTCCTCTCACACTCCACAGTACTCCTCCAACTTGATGATACCGAGAGGTAGTGTGAAGGTGCCCAAGTACTCTCTGGACCCATACATTGATTTCCTACGTTCAATGCACGAAATGATTGACTCTAGACAAGTGTCATTGGATGTGAGAAAAGACTGGGATTATCTCCACGAGCTTCTTTTATGCTATCTCCATCTCAATCCTACACATACTCACAAGTTCATTGTTCGTGCTTTCATAGACCTTCTCATCGACCTCTTGTCATCATCATCATCATCATCTTCCTCTTCATCCTCACCACCTTCACCACAAATACAGACGCCATCCCAGCTATAGTTAATTTCTCATGGCGGTTGGTCTACAACTATAAGTACAAGCTTCTTAAATTAGGGATTATTAATATTTGTTTTCTTAATTATGTTCATGGTTTTAAAATGGCATGATGGTGTGGGTGTGACAAGTAGAGTTTGTTTATAGTCCTTGTGTTGGTTGGTGTGGTCCTGTAATGGTAATGGTAATGGTAATGGTAATGGTAATGGTAACTAGCATGGTACTCTACTCACAAGCATGCTCACCTTGCTTTTCCTCTTTGTGTTAGGGTACAAAGATCATGTCCTTAATTTGGTCAACAGCTATGACTCAATAATGGAGCTATGTAAATTGTTGAGAGAATGACAAAATTGCATCTTTGTGCACTTGTTAACAAGGTAGGAGATGAATATGAATTTGGGTTTATGCTTAATGTGCAATAAAATTTATTAATAAAAATAAAGAGAAATTAGGAAAACAAATTATACTCCTATTTGTCCTATCCCATCAAAGATATTAATAACCAAAGATACAATTTGAAGGATGCATTACTTACTCCACATAAGAGTAATTGAAGCTAGGAAAGCAAATAATAAGCAAATTTCAGGCATATAGAAAAATTAAGTCCATAACCTCATCTACATGTAGATCCCCATGCTTAATTGGGGCCTTCATGAAGTTGTTATTTTTTAAAACAAATCCAAATGAAATCACATCCAACCAATTTGGCTTACTAAGTATACTGGATCACAATCCTGTATATCAAAAGCAAAAAAAAGGTATAAAGCCAAATGAAGGACAAAGGAATGAACATACCTGCCAAATGACAACTGGCAACTAAAACATATAACTATATAAGATTCTTAATTGTCAATTATCATTTTCCTGAATATGCCAAAAAACCATTCTTTGTTGTTTCGTTAACTGTTCATAAAAGAGGAAGCACTTGTTCTTGATGGGTTCTTCTTAGCTCATAAAATGGAGTCCATTTAAAAATCATTGGTGAGTTTAGGGATCCAAAGAGATAGCTTTAACAACTACGGCAAAAGAACTACTGATTTTCCTATTTCTTATACTAATTTAATATTTATAATTATAAATTAAAGGTAGTTGGTTTAGGTAAGTTTATAATACCAGACTCTTTGTCCATAAGTGTATGCCTATTATTATATGTCAATGTTCATTTGGACAACAACAATTAACAACAAATATATATATATATATATAATAACTTAGGGTACATAGCCCTGCACTGGATTATTGTACCGACTTCCATACTACTTGTGTTTTTTATTACGGATCGATATTGTTAATTAGTATATATCTATCACAATAAAACAAGGATGATGAAGTGACTTAATTTATAAATATTAGAAACAAAATGTAGATAGTTAATCAATAAATGTACATAACAAATGATAGGGAGTGCTCTACAAAAAAACATAGAATATATGAGATTCAATTCGGATTAAAAGATCCATGATATTTGATACCTTTAAAGTTTAAATAGAAAATGAATATGGATTTAATTAATTAGTTAGATCCTCACTGTCCAAACACTAAAGTGTAATGATGCATATTTGTATATACTAAGATCCTTATTTTATTTGAGTAAAACAGATTAAAAATAGTGTTTTGAAATGTGAGTGTTTCACTCATTTTAGTGTCTAAATAAAACCCAGCACATCAATGATTCAATCAGAAATAAAAATGTTGTAAGCATTATATAATCATTTTCTGATTTATGTTGTAAAAGGATCGAAGATACTGGATGGAGATTGAGTTTGTGCAGGATTTGGCACAGTGACCCAAAATGTTGTCACTTCCAATATATATAAAAAACAAGTTCAATTATGAGGAAAGTGTGGCTTCACTGGCCTGTCCATATCAATTCCAAACTCCTATTCTGGAGTCTGACTGAACATAGAGATTTTGTATCTGTATTCCTTAGTCTCCACTCTTCAACTTTCATTTTCTTATTCAATTCATACATCTCTGTGACTTATACATTAGGTGTTGCTATCTATCTCTGTGAAAAATTATGGCTTTAATGACTAAAATGAGACTTCCATTTCCTAATCTTTAGCATCTCTCTTAACACATGAGCAGGATAATTTATTTATTTTTCCGCCCATGCAAGGAAACACAATGTGCACAAACATTGTTTCATTAATTAAAAAATGTATATATTTTCAAATCACTAGTTTTATTATTATATAACCTAAAATTAGAGACTTCTTGCATTTTGTATTAGAATAATTGATCTAGTTTTTCCCAAAAGGAAGTTATAGGAAGAAAAAAACTTGCTCAAATGATTCTTTTAATTTACCATAATTAACAAATGTGAAACTTAATATTTGTCCTAATATCAAAGAGGCATGAATTTTGTAAAACTAATCAGCTACACATACTTGGAATTTATTTGGGGGTGGGAAGATTTGGATTGGCCAATGAAACGTCTCTCAATTGATTTCTCAACACATATGTGAAGGAACAAGTCTTATCATGTTACATTTTTATATGTTTTTTTTGTAGTACTTGTCTCTTCATTAATGGAGATGATCTTTACTCTCTTGTGAAACATTTATTACCCACCACCATTCTAAGTGCCAAAATCCTTATTGCCTTCTTCTAATATCCTTTTCTTTTTTATTTTTTCCAAAAATGGTACTCAGTATTGCTTATCTTCTAATCTCATACTAGGATACCAAGCTCATTGATGCTAGTAAGACTTATCCCATATTTAGTTTGAGCCATAGACTTGAACAAACTTATAAATGTCGATTGAACTAGCATCTTAACTCAAACATAGCCTTAAACCCATGTCACATGCTCATATTCACTTTTGGGAAACAGTATAGCCGAACAATGTATCTATTATAACAACGTGGTCTGCATGTCTATATATAATGATGTCACAATCACCTCTTGGTTATTTTGCTAAACTATCACTCAATGTTGTGAAACCCGAGCTGGACGTCAAACCGGAGGAGGTCTTGTATAGGTTCTAACGGGTTTAACCGGTTAAGCCGTCCGGTCGGACCGGACGACAATATAATATCATATATAATTATATATATATACATATATTATATAATTAATTAAAATAAGTGAATAACTTTGCACAAAGCTTACACATAAATCAAAATAAAAGTGCATCAAAGTTTAAGTCTTACATAATTAGAGCAATAAATCAAAACACATATCATTTAGAGAGTAAACATTCTAATTCATCCATATATCATTGTCTTGGTTAGATCCTAAGTTTACATTGTTGGTTAAAGATGTACTTTGAGTGTAACTATCTACATCTTCTTGAGGAAAAAAGTCTAAATCGAGTTGCCCCAGGACGTATGATTTCTTTCCACCCTTGTCTTTTCCTTAACCATGCCAACAAAAACCCATGATTGTAAACAAACTTTGTCATATCTGAAATCATAAACATAAACATATTTCAAACATAAACATAAACAATATGAGATCCTAATTGTTGTGAAGATGGTGATCTTTCCCAACCCATGGCTAAGGTTTTGATGATGCTCACTATGTCATCAAATGCAAAAAGAAGACTAGCAAATCAAAAGTCAAAGAAGCTCATATGTGTAGTCTAAGTCTTTTAGGTAAAACGATACTTGAACTTAAAATCTCTTGACTATACGATAAAGGCTGATCTTTGAAAAACTCATGCATGAAACTAAGATCATTTGCACTAAAGCACAAGTGTTCTATTTTTTAAACAGTGTAATCGATTACACAATCCTGGTAATCGATTACATGCTGATAAACTAATCAAACTTGTGCATTTTACATGATATAATCGATTACAATATACTCGTAATCGATTACAACATATTAAAAGCATCAGTTTTTTGCATTCTTTTTCAATACTTTTGTTTTTTTTAATTTTACCAACCCGGCCAGTTTAACCAATCGGGTTATTCCGGTTTTACCCGGTCTAACCCGGTTGGACCGGATTTTCCACGGCCCAAAACGGTTGGAAACCAATTCCGATTTTCTACATGTACAGGACCGTTTACTCAAGCGGGTGACGGTTGGACCGGTTGGACCGGCCGGTCCCGTCACAACAACATTGCTATCACTATACGTTTTGAATTTGAACACAACCTACTTCTAGTTATAGGTAATATTTTGTAAAGCAAAATTGTAACTTTTTACGTGGCTTGTTGAATCATAAAATAAAATTACTAGTTGTGAAGTAAACAAAAATTAAAGATAACTTATTATTTAAAAAAAAAGTTTGAAGCATTTGAAAGCTATTTTTCATAAAGTTACTTAAGTAACGTTAGTTTTCAATAATTCAATTACCAATTTTTTCGTTCAATATGTAAAAAATTACATTAGATGCTCTCAATTAACAAAAGAGGGGAGAATCTAATCTTAGAAAAGGAAACACCATACAACATGCATGGCTACCTTTCAATTCACTCTACCCTTCCAAAAGAAAAGCCCTTCACTGCTTTTAAACTGGAAAGTACACACCATAGAAGGTGATGGGAGCATTCTATCAATCAGTTGATGAGTATATATGTCCAACCCAGTTGAAGACTTTTGATGAGTATATATGTCCAACCCAAATGAAACTACTGATTTCATCTATCATATAATACTTTTACTTGCCACTTAATCATTAAAGATTTCCTACGTCCATGGTATCCTTTCTTACAGTCCCCTACCATATGATCTGATTTCTTTCTAGCACCTTGGGTTGGTTCGCTGTTTTGTTAGGCTTATTAGTTATTGGTAAATAACCTTTCGTAAATATCTGGGGACAACTAAATATGATAGAATTCTTTGTATGGGGATAAAAGAAAACATATATGCTGTTCTACCAAACAGAATACATACCCCACACAAAACTGGATTTAGCTGGCAATATTTTCCCAACTTTAACCGTAGGCCAGGCCCTAGTCTGATTCACACAGATTTTCTTCCCACGATTGGAACGTCATTATGCCACTTAAGGACTATGCAACAACAAATAACTAACAATCCTTGTGGCAGGAGTCTTCAAAAGTATAAAATACATTCAAATCAGGCAAGATTATTCCTTTCATAGCCATAGTCAATAGCTGCCAAGAAACAGATTACCTTTTTTTCTCTTTCTTTTCTTCCAGTTCGATCCCATTATAAGCATATCATATATAATTAAACACAGTAATAGTAAGTCTTTCTACAACTAAACCGAGTCTCTGATGTTCCTTGGCCGTCGTCCTAGTTACTTTCCACAATCACCTAGTACAACACTATGGGATCATCATTAGAAATACAACCTCTTGCCATGCAGAGCAGGAAGTGGGACAGTAGTTATAATTAACACACAGAACTGCTACCGTTAAACGGTTAGTGATTACAAACAACATTTAGAAAGTAAATGGGATCAAGGTCATAATATCAGTGGTTACCATCTTCAAAGGTTGTCATTTCTATCGGTAGTAAGCCTGCTGATAAGTTGGTGCCAAAACATTGCCATAGCCACCATATGCAGGAGGATAATTCATGGGAGGAGGCGCTGGGTATGACCCTGCAATAACTGGTGCTGGCTCTGGTGAATACGCATAAGATGGACTTCTGCTGCCATACATGTGGGGTGGGGAGGGATATGGTGGAAGAGCAGCTGGGTATTGCCCATGTGATGGTGACCTGACAAATGTAGGAGCGGCAGGGAAAGATGATACATATGCATTAGTCAAACGGCCAGCTTTGGCTGGAGGCATCGGGCCTCCAGTACTGTTGCTTGTACGTGTTCTCTTGTTGGCAGGGACAGCAGCTGGTTTCCTTTTCTCAGGCTTGACCTTCTCCAACTGTTCAAGCCGCTTCTTCAGATTTTCTGGAGGGAATTCAGCCTCAAGTTTGTACTCTTCAATGCATTTAATCACAGCCTTGAGAGCAGACTGCTCTTTTCTTGCAGCTAGGTACTGGGAAAGTTTATTATGAATGATAAGAAATGTCAGTTAAAATGGTAAACCCACTTTCCATAAGAGCAGAAAATTATAATACAACACTTTTTCTTCCAAC